GCGCAAAGATGAACGTTTTTTTTTTTTTTACTTTATACCGAGGTCGAAGGGGCGTACGGCACTCATGCCGCGACGTCGTTTTATTGGATAAATTGGATTCAAATTTCAAGTATCGAAAATTCCTAAATACACTCAAAAAAGACATATTTTCAAGAACTGTCGCATATTTTCGAACGAATGGAAGCTAATTAGAATAAAGCTTCTCAAAGACAACGAAGCACATTCACCACTTTCGTATACAATTAATATTAATTAAAAAAAGAGAAATCAAATCAGATTCTTTGATATCTGCACGTATAGTTAAAAAGACGAATCTTCAAGAAAACTACATAAATGTGCCTATTCAAGTGTAGCTGAGTGTAATTTTATTTTTACCAAAGATAGATTGTTTCATTATTGATAAAAATGAATGATTTTTCTAAAATTATAGCTCAAACGCCCATCGATATTATTTATTATTTTATTTTTTTTTTATTTATTAAAGCTTATACAATGTTATTAACATATGTACAACCTAATCATGCAGATTATTTATTATTATTTTCCATATAATATTTAATAGTAATAATATTTGCGAAAATTCGACAAATGTGCGAAAATTACAATTTGCAACGCTCGCAAACAACCAATTGCTAATGTTAATACATACATATGTATGTATGTATGCATGTACTATGCATGTAGATATGTATTTTCATCTACACTTCATAGTCGGTATCAATTTGAGCTTTCCGTCATCAAGAGGATTATTACGGTGTTTCGGTGTTGCTTGACAATCACAGATGTCAGATGTCAGATGTCGGTTGATCGGACCATACATGTGTGTATTGCCACTGTCAACTGCCGATTATCAACCAAAAACCAACAGCCAACAGCCAACAAGTTCTGCCGCAGCTGACAAGTGTATGTATGTATTTGTATACTTGAAAGCTTTTGCTTTTGAAATCACTAATTAAAATGTTTATTAGCTGGAACTTATGCCTCGCTGACTTAATGGAGTAACATCAAGTTTCTGAGCTAAATACACGTGGTGGAATTCTATGTATGTATGTATGTACCAGTACTCAATACTGGTAGTGCAAGTATGAGGTAATATATGAATGCCTCTAATACGGGGATCAATGTCGTAACATGCAATATGAATAAATATTAGAATAAAATAATATCCGATTTGAATTTGTGGTTATTTTTGTGTTGCCTACAACAAAAGAGTTATCAAGACCCTTTTGAAATGCTCTCTTACTTGAGCCAACAAAAGAAGCCTATAAAATTGCAGCAGCGGCAGCGGCAGTGGATTGCTGCGCGTAGACGATTTGTTAGCAGATTTAAATGCAATGCACTTCAATCGAAATAAGATAAACAAAGGCGCTGATCATTTGCCAAACAAAAGCATATTGTTAAGCGTAACAAACTATTCAAGGGTTTTCTTTTGTTTTTTGTTTTTTTTTTATATGATATGTATGTACTTTTCATTATCATCTTCTATTGCCCCATAATGAATTATAAACTTATTTATTTCAACATTTCGCTTTATATATATGTAATTACTTATGCATACATACATACATACATACATTTAGTTTATTCACCGCGAATCGTCCGTGACCTTGAATATGTAGTTCCGTTGCCGTAACATTAAGAGAAGAGTAAAATACTTGAATAACACCAAGTTTTCCTAATTCAAGTGATCACATTTTCTGCATATGTACATACATACATACATATATGGAGTCTTAACAATTAAGTGTCATTCAATTATAAAATACACATACATATGTATATATGCCTACATGTGCCTACATTTGCTTCGTGTAATGTGAAGACTTATACATATGTACTAGTGATAACACCCTAGTTTCGGGTGAATGCAGACCCGACGAACTTCGTCTCTCCCAAAATTAATTATTGAAACATTTCATTTGCTCCAACGCTTTCACCAACAATTTACGTTCACGTTCACGTTTTGGGCACGTTCACGTTGATAGCGGCAGAAGGAATATGCGCGTGAAGAAGTTCTTGCGGCAACAATGATCCGGTTCGATGGCGAATCGTCCTGGAATCTGTGCATAGTATAGTTGCTAGAAATTCAAAAATGGGGAATCATTGGTCCACAAAAATCGTATATGTACTATTGCATTTGTAGGCATTTATATCAAGACGTGTCTTTATTCTGTTCAGTCGCCGTGGAGCATAGACCGCAATGGTTCTCCTGGTTGATTTAACGGTGGTAATTTGACCTTTATCCCTGGTGTCTGCGCATGACATCACTTGACGATTTTTACCAATAACTCTACTCCTGAGCCTCCTTGCAGCTCTTTTTTTTTTACAATAGAATTGCCCCTACCGTTACCAATAAACATACATACATATATCTCGAATATGAGCTAAATTGGATAATAAATACGATTTGTAGTAATAACTCCGCTCCCGTTCCAGCCGACGTTTTAAAAAGAGCGTCTAACTTATACAGGGACCCGCTCAAACACAAAAAAAAAAAAAATCATTAAAATCGTTTCTGTCGTTTTGGGCGGAGTGCACTTATAAACACACACACCGAAGAATCTTCGGCAAGAAAATAACTTTTTTCGAGTACTACTTAAACACAAGTCTGTCGACAGCTAAGTCATATTTTCACATTTTATTTACTGACTTTACAATTTTTTTTTAACGGTTGGCATCATTTTACATTAAAACATTTATATTTTATTAATTCCGCAGAGAAAAAGTAATCATTTGACCTAAGGTGCAATGCAGAAAACCCGTATGGATATCAAATTAAAGAGAAAATTCTGTAGAATTCTTTAAACCAAATTAAATTTGGTTGCACTTTAATTTGATATACATATAACTCAATTCTGTAACTGCTTCAGGTCGCCCTAATTAACTCGTATGACTTAGCAATTATATATAGATTCTAAGAACATCAGAATAACAATTTAACCGCGATTTCTGAGTAATTTTGACAGAAGCATGATAAAAATTAAATTCTAATTGCGACATTTTGTAAAGCTGATGCGCCAGAAAAGAAAGGTAAAGTTAAACTGGTTAGTATTTAATTGGTTCATCCAATAAAATATTCTGCTAGTGACTACTCTGGGCGAAACCTAAGCTTTGGGGGCAGAAATTTTGATCAATCAGAATTTCCAAAACAAGACGCTTCGCTAAGTCAGTTAGACTTTCCGAAGACGTAAATTTACATTTACTTACATACATACATACATACATATGTATTGTGTGTTGGTTTATTATCACATTGAAATTCAAATTTATAGCAAAATTTAGTTTTTGAGCTAACCAAGGGCAACATGTTGCGAATTCCGGCTAGCTTACCGTACCGGCTAATCCGTTTCAAAAGCATTTTATATAAAACATTGTAGCATTTCGTCGTGGGCCTTCAACCGTTAATCGCAATCGCAACATTTCGGTGATGAGAAAAACTGTACTAAATTTCAGCTTGTTCGCCATGAGAATTGAATGGAAAATTAAATAAGTGTTTGCATATTGCATATTCTCATATTAGGCATTCAAAACGGAGAGACTCAGAGATTGGAATTTCCCAACATTCGTCATAGTCCATTAAAATACACAACAACAACACATGGAATCGCACAAATAAATCTCCACTAGCAAAACTTTAGCACAACACAGATACCGTTGTTTGCTGAGCAACTGAGTCTGCGATGTGATTGTGGCTGGTGATCCGAATAGCGTGGGGGCATTTCCTAATGCATGAATTGGAACGAATTGCACAAACTTGGAAACACAAATTTCTCACAGTGCTTTGGAAAGGCTAACATTTCGCACAAATTAAATGTGTGAATGAAAAAAAAAACATAGAAAAACTTGCAAAAATTGCAAAATTTATTGTAATCTGGCGTTTTCTTAAGGCAAAGCATCATGAACTTAACAACCTGTTGGCGGAGGGATTTTTCTCGATATGCAATAATTGAAACGCAAATTACTTTTTAACAACAATGGCAATTGCTTCATTACAAAGTCAAGTTTAATTCTCGCTGACTTCCCTGTTCACATAATTTTGTTTGCGCGTTTGCTAAGCGAATTCTCTGTGTTTTAGAAAACCATGAATTTACACTTAAAGTAATTCCCATAAGTGGCATCGCAGCAAAATTAAAAAAAAAAAAAAAAAACAGCAAATCGAAAAATCATCAGCGCCTACGAAAATGTCCGCCAACATGCTTTTATTTGAGCTTGTAGAAATATTCAGTAACTTGAAGTGTTTGTATATACATACATACATACATACATACATATGTATGTACTTATGGATGTACACTCATCGCTTGGATAAACACTAAATATTCGTGCAAAATGCTTACTACACTACGCTTTTGCTCTTATTGCTTGGGTGCCATGCTAGCCGCCAGACCGCCGAGCCACCGAACCGCCGAACCGCCGAACCGCCGAAGTTCGATGATAACTGCAAGTGTCAAAGCTTCAATTGGGGCTCGTTGAGTTCTACACAGACTCCAAATGGCATTGCCATATTTTGCATAAACGTTTACTCTTACATATGTACAAACTTAATTACGTACATACATACACATACACACACACATAGGCATGCATTTCAAATATTCATAAATCGATGCCAGCGCTGGTACAAAGAACAAGTTCGTTGCTAAAGTCTTTCGTTTGCGATTGCCCACAATGCGGACATTCAAATGCACTTACTACACACTTTAACATAAACATATATACATGCATATGTAAGTGGATACTCGAAGTGATTACGAAAGCAGCGCATTTAAATACATTTATGATTAAAAATCATTGAGTAATAATTTCCAAAACTATTAACCTCTAAAAACAAATGGCATGACCGATAGATGGGAATTTTTTACGGACTTTTTGAAGTTGTATTGTAAATCTTAATTTCAACATTAAGCACCCATGTGCGAGTATGAGTATGTGTGTATGTTTCTTGAGCACTGAAAATGTTTTTTGGATTAGATGCATTTGAATTATGATGCTTCACTTACTTGAGCCTTCAGCGCTGGGTTAGCAAAGTAGCCATCCTCCGTGCATTGCCCCTTCAAAACGCACTGTTTTCCCGCGGAGCATTTCAAGACCTCTTCTGGTGGCAAGTAAGTGGGACCTTGGAAGGGCGACGCTTGCCGACTTATAATGGCATGTTCGAGAAAAAGATTCGATGTCGGATTAATCGCTTGCGATTTACTTGGATTAGCTTTAATGCCGTTCTGATATTCGCCATTGAGGAACATATTCGACGAGTACTGGGCGAGTGTGACGCCACAACAAACAAGTGTGACCGCGAGCCCAAATAAAAGATGCCGATCTCGTAACATTCTATCAAATGCTATGCGAACTGTTCAAGCGTTGAAATATACGGCTGCAGAAACTGTAAATATGATTAAAAAAAATAAAAATCAAATAATGAATTAATTGGTTTGATAAGATTGTGAATGCATAATCGTAGATCGACAAAACAAGTAATTAAAATAAAGCCTACAATGAGCAATTTCTATTCCCTATCATCGAACGCAACTTGTTGCGCAGCAAAGCCTCGTGAACGTCTTTAATAAATTTACATAGAACATAACTTTAAATATAAATAACTTTCATTTGGAATATTTTCCCTTTTCTAGTTAATTTTGGAAATTAAAGTGAAAATGGAAACCAGATGCAATATCATTGCAAGAAAGCTTTTTAGAATAAAATCATCAAAAAAGCAGGAAGATTATTGAGACGATTCTGGAGGGAACGAACCTCTTTCCTGGCCGAACTACACTCGGAGACATGTCATGTTTCGTTGGAGCAAAACAGCTTTGGCCATATATGTATAAATCTGAGTCTTTCTGCTTCGCAGATTCGGAGTAGAATTTAAAATTCCTCCTAGCGCTTTAATTTACGCTTTGATGGCGGATATGAAAAATCAGCATCCATTCATACATACAATGTATACAATGCGCTGTGGTCAAAAGATTTACGCATCCCAATATTACCATTAAAGAGTTTGATTTTTTTTTTTTGGTTTTCTTTATCTTTGTTTTCTATCAGCAATTTTAAACAACAACCAAATGATTGACAGATTAACTGCTAAAAGCGGCAGGAGGAGCTACCTTACATGTTGTAGAGAATCAAATAAGGCGTGAACGAACGCTTCAAACGTCAAGACTGGTGGTGTTAAACAAGAATGTTTTGAAACGTTTTGAGCGTTATCAGTCAGCAAAATGCGCTGCTGCAGACTGCACAAGTATGTATGTATGTATGTATGTACATACATATATCACGTTTTTGTTTACATTTTGTGTAATGATTTATAGACTATCGGTCGACACCGTTATGTGGTACATATGTACAAATGTGTATGCAGCAGTAGGTCTATGTATGTATATATTTGTGCATACATACATGTGCATAGTGTATAGAGGGGCAATATGGGGGCACTTCTTGGAGTTTATTTTCTTTCATCTAGACAAGCTTCTATTCATGTTACTAGTCGCTTTATTACACTGTGTAACAGTGAAAATTTTCTTTTCTTTTCTAGTGATGATTCTCAAAATTATGATTAAATGTATTCCAACACCCTGTATTCTCAACTTATTCATAAAAAAAAACAAAAACATTTTTACGTGATCGCAGATTAAACAGTTTGAGAAAGCATAACATTTGAGGATGTAGATCGAATTCTACCGATTCGTATGAGCTCTGTTTGTCTCTGAATTAGAAGTGCTGTATTCAAATACTTGAAGAAAATGGTTATGGTAAGCTAGCACTAAATTTTGTTAATAAAAATGTCTTATTATGCCGCATTTCCATAAAGTGTTGAAGTAACAAAGAAGTAATTAAAAAAAAAAAAACAAAACCGACTTCAATTCTCATATAAAATATATATATATATATATCATGATCCAACGATCGGAACTAAACCAGCTTAATATGGGACCACCTCTGAGACACTACCTTTCCGATGCAAAAAGAATTATTGAAATCGGTTGACGTGGTCCAAAGTTATGCAGTAACATACATACAAAAAAAAAAAGTATTCAGACGAACTGCTAACCTCCTCCTCTTTTGAAAGTCGGCTAAAAAAATATATGTATTTTATGAATATATTGGCATGAGATATATTTTGCAGTGCTCAACTTTGTCAATAAATTTTTGGTCATTTAAGGTCCAGTGAACATCCGGTACCAGAGTAAGAACAAAAAAATTTCTTGTTTTGTTTGGGAACAAATTCTATTGACGATGATATTAATATTTTTTTTACAACGCAGTTTATTTAAAATAATACAGAAAAAAAAAATTAAAATCCGTTATAATAACTGTCTTTCTATGAAGAATTTATTCCAATTCTTTTTAACAAAATAATTACCATCTTTCTACCTTTATTTGAATTTAGAAAATAAACAAAATGTCAAAATTAAAAAAAAAAAATTAAAAAAATGTTGCCAAATTAAATTCAACTGGTATTAACTAAGTTTATTCATTTGAAACCTGCTGGACTACAGACATATGTAAGTACACACGGTTATACATATATATGTATGTATGTATGACTAAAATCTCTGGCTAAAAATTACAAAAAACATCGCAACAAGAATGTGCTTAGTAATTCAATAATAAAAGCTAATAAAAAAAATTAAGTTGCTTAGACATAAAAAAAAAAAAAAAAACACAAAACAAAACAAAACATTAAAATTTATCTATTCAACCAATTCCTCATTACCCGTATTTTTAATCAAATAAAAAAAAAAGCTAAAAGAGCGGACGTACATACATATGTACATATATACTAACTGAAGAAAGAACCCAGATTTGCTATATTAAGTCAAACTTAAAAATAACTATGCACAAATACATGTGTATGTATGTATGTATGTATGAATATAAGTATAACTGTATATCCGTATCCATATAATTAAATAAATACGTACATATGTATGTATATAAAAATAAGATGAATACCAAAGTGATTACTACATTTGGCATCGTGACAAATAACAAAACAATAAAACAATCATTTGAATGTAGATTATTTAAAATGAGCGGATGAGTAGGAATCAAATGTTGTTTACGATCTGCTATTCTGTTTCAAAGTTAGTTATACAAAACCATCAACGTCTTCACACTTTATTATTCTATAAAATATACATAAATGGAGACAAACGAGTGTGCGAGTGTGCGAAAGTGTGTGTGTGCGAATGTGCGAGTGTGTGCATGACAGTTGCTTCTTGATTTATTAAGGCAAATTTAAATTTAAAATTTTTTTAATTCCAGTTTCGCAAAATTTTCAACTTTCTATTTCTAAATATTTATTAAGATTAATCTGAGGGAAAACCAACTTCATTCGTCCGAATACTGGTATAACCCACACAGATTAGATACATCCATATATCCAACAATAACGATAACGACATGCAAACGACCATATTTACGTATGTTAATTAGCTATTTTCAAGCACTTTGATCTGAGATTTACTCTTTTTATTAAAGTGGAAGCAGCAGCAAATACAGGTACCTACGATGATACGTGTATCTTGTTTTCTTTTCGCAAAAACCAATTTGTCGATATTCTTCACCCACCAAGCTTCCTATTTTGTTTTGTTTGCCGAGTGACTATTTGTAAGAACTTGGTGAAAGAAGCTAAAGAAATCGTTATGTATGTGAAAACAGGTTGCTGCCTACCTGAGTGGGATGTGGTTAAATATGTCAATATATGTATATACATATATACTTACATATGTGTTACATATATATACTTACATATGTGTTTGTGATCGCAAGCACTAAATAGGAAACGACCATTTTTTTTATATCCGAAGGAATTTAATTTCAACTCAGTGAAAGTGAACCCGAAGTTGAGCATACGATTTGTTTGTGCTCCGATTCGATTTTTAGTTAGAGCAACATCCAAAAGAAGTTTTTTTCTAATAGTAGTTCTCTCTTCGGCAACCAATGACAAGCAGTGTTGCCAACTTCCCGAAGACCCAAAAATCCCGTTCTCCTCTGAAAACCGCCCTGTTTATCCCATTTTGAATTCGAAAATGCCATTTAAATGGGTGGGCCGCGGCTTTCACTTTTCTTGCGTTGCACATAGCCTTATAAACACAGCTGTAATGCAGATATCTCTGATATAGTATCTATTTTTTTTTTTAATCAAGTTGACAAGACCTTTCTCGCGTGTTGAAGGTGACAATGCAAAAATAAAGAAATGATTATTGAATGTCCTACCCATCACAGCAAAATAACCCCACTCGGAGGTTTGCCATTGCCTGCCGATCGGCGCCCGCTGCTAAGAAAAAACCTTTTTACTACATTTTTTTTTGAGATGTTGCTTGAACCCAGGACCTGCGATGTGGAAGCGCGCACTGCTTACCACTACATATGGTTGCCAGTCGTACTCAATTTATCAGTACAGTACTGATTTTTCAACTCTTGCACTGATTTTATTCATTTCTTCAATCAGTACTCTAATGCCCTGATTTTTCAAAATTTGTACTGATTTGTACTAAATTTTCAATTCAAACAAAATACTTTAAGATTTTCTTAAGGTTTTTACATAACGTTGGAACTTCCTTAAACTGTACTGTAAAAAATAATGTACTGCAGAAAATAATTTAATTGTAGTTGATATGTTTTAGATAATGTTTGATATGCCAAAGAAATTAATACAACAAGTAATTTTTAGCAAAAAAAAAAACCGACTTAAAAAAAATTTATATATCTATATATTTCATGATCCAATGATCGGTCTAAACCAAATTAGTATGGGACCACCTCTGATACACTACATTTCCGTTGCAAAACGAATTGTTGATACATAAAAAAAAAAAAAAAAAAAAAAAAAATATTCCGACGAACTGATAGCCTCCTCCTTTTTTGGATGTCGGTTAAAAAGATCAATCGTACCAGTTGCGATAATATGATGCAGCTTAAATTATTTTACAAGAAGGCTGACATTTTTGCCGAGTGTTGGTAGTTATCTTAAAAATAACTTTTAGTTTAATAACAACAAATTTGAATATTCGAATGATTTTTACCTATAACTTACAATTCTTTTTTTTTTTGAATTTACTGACTTTGTAAAAGAGGTTTGCATACAAGACACAGATAGATACTAGATACTCCTTTTAACGAATTCTTACTCTTGCAAAGTTTTTGCGAAATTGAAAAAATTATTTAAGCCATGAGGAAATATACATGAAGTCCTTAAAAAGTGGTACTTTTCACAGTTTGAAAAAATATTTAATTTAGTTTTTTTTCAATTTCACACTCAAACGACGAGCAACTTATAGGATCTTAAGAATAAAGTATGTTTTCTGGCCTAAAGAGGTAAATCGGCTTCTAATTCAAATTTTTTTAAAGTGAACTTTAAATTAAAAGTGATTTTAAAATGAAATGTTAAAAACAAGAACTCTGGAGTTTTAAAGTATTTTCTGTTACTCATTCATACATAATTTTGCTTTGAATAAAAATGTACTGAAAAGTACTGATTTTTTTAGCATGAAAAAATCGAATGTACTGATTTCGCGCATAAAAAATTTGGCAACCCTACCACCACACCACACTGGGTAACAAATTCATCTAGTCAAAGAAAATGAGAATATTCTATATAAATTATCTAACTAAGTTTTATGCTTTTTTAGTTTCGTCTTGAAACAGTTTGAAACTTGTCAAATTAAGGGTTACTTAAATTTTAAGCAAAAACGAGTTAAAATGTCGCATTACGTTGGAATGCCCCATATATGTATGTTTGAATAAAGAAATTTAGCAATGACTGAAAAGCAAATAAGAAATAAAAATTAACCACAAAATTGTATATATTTAAATAGAAATCTCATAATGAGACGCAAAATCCCACGCGTTAAAATGAACTATTTGAATAACCTAGTCGCAGAATATATATATATATATATATAGTTTTTTTTTCTGCAGATATAAGCAAATGTCAAGGACATTGATAGCAAAAGAAAGTTTTCTGAAAAAAATGAGACACTTGTCGAATAAAATGGTATTTTTTTTTTTTTGTTTAACAGAGGATGTTTGCCTTTTCTGTACACAGAATTGTGAAAAATTTAATTTTGTCCAACAAGCTGTTCATAGCATCCTTTCAAAACATGAATAACGAAATACCGTTTTCTTATTAAATTTTGGTCAAATTGCTAAACTCAATATCTTATTAAAAATGCATACATTCTTCTTTCTAAATCCATCTTTAAACTTGAACTTATTTAACAATGTTTATGAATAAGTTGAGAATTTCAGCGTGTCAGAAGAATTTTAAAAACAGTTTTGTAAATTACTCGATCAGCAGCACAATTTTTCTAGGCGACGTAAAAAATTCGAGCAAAATTTTTTTTATTTTTTTATTTCGCCACACCGTGTAATTGAAGATATTTAAAACTGTTATAAAAATATAAAAAGTACAGATTTTTAAAAAATTAATTGATATCTTTCGCAAATGTTCCCCGCGCACAGGCAAGAGATCATTTTGCCTCGGTACTTTTTTATCAACAGTAACGCAGCGAAAAGAATAGATATCAAAATAAAATATATTTAAATTATTTTTTATGGACGGAAGAAAATCAGACTGTCGTCACACAGGACGGATTTCACCCTTTTACATACATACATACATACATACATACATACTATGTACATCGGTATGTATTTTGCACTATTTTTTAACTACCAGTGTCATACATACATATCGTCTTTTAAAGTACAAAACCGCGTAACTGACATTTGCTGCCAAAAATTGGATTTGCTCACATAAGCTCTGAGTTCTGGGTCTGCCTTCGTCCTGAAATATGCTAGGCACAAATGCGATTGCTTTATAAAAAAGAGAACCGTTTTGAAATATGAGTGTTTTTACTCTCTAGAAAATAATTTCTACAACTTAACATATGCGGTTTTGCATTTGGTTGATACGCGGTTTTTTTTACTTTAAAGACGATATTTATTTAAGTACAATGTGTAAATACGTATACATATGTATACATGTGGTTTTATTTCACTTTTGCACAAAATAGACTGTTTTTATAATATTTATGTACATATGTATATTTATGTATGTATGTATGTGCATACACATTTACAGCAGACACGATCAAATCAATTAATTACTTTCTAGCAACACTTTGTGCCTTCGGATAGCTGCGTGCAAACAAAACAAACAAACAAACAAACATGCACAGCTACATATGTATGTATGTGAATAAATAGTTTACATACATATCAAGCCACCACAGTTCATGCCCACGTACGCTTTAGTGTTAATTAGAAGCAATTATGCGATTCACTAATGCATTTTGTAATAAATCAACAGCCAACAAAATCAAGTAAAATTATTCACTTTTTAATAAACAGCGTAATGTCCTACATCAAAGAGTTTTTCTTTCGAAATCCTTTATTAAATGCTTTAGCAAAATGCTATTGCTATTTGATATGGATGAAATAAAATAACCATGCCGGATCTTATGCACTAAAACACTGATATCCGTTTTTGGTAATATAACTTCTTTTTTTTTTTGTTATAGTTGAGGTTTATATTTTTGATTTAAAAAATCATTTACAAGCGCTTATTATTCTTCTCTTCCACATGTATGTATGTACTTCGTATTGATGTTTAAAAAGTTTAAAATTAAACGAAGCAAAAAATTTGATTGTTAAACTCACTTGTTGTTATTTTTGTTTGTTCGTAGCGAAAAATAAGTTTGTTAAACTAAAGACACGATCGCACAAACAGAGAACTTGTAAACGTTTGTATCAATATTTTCGTAACATCAGCCTTTTATACGCCACTGTAGTAGGCTTTTGTGGGTGAGCAACGAACGCTCACAGTCTGCATCATCTTTTGACGTGCCACAAGTTGACGACGGCACCGAAACGCCAGAGTTGGGAGACGAAACCGAAACCAAAACCAAAACCCAAAACCCAAAACCAAAACAAAACAACGCCAGCAGCAATGAGTGGTGAGTGGTATAGACCACTTGCACAAGCGTCACGGCGACGCAAATTATTCGCTCCACGTTTTCTTGGCGACACAACATACTTACATACATACATACATACATACATATGTATACAACTCCCGCTCTCTGTCTGTTAATTATCAGACAGCCGCTGAAGCAGCGTTGCCGAAAGTTTTCGCTAAAAATTCGTCAATTTACCCTAAAAAATCGTAATTTCGGCCAAAATTTTTCGTTAAATTTTGATGTACATATTATACTTTTTTACTAGGCCAAAAAAACAAAAAACAAAAAAAAAAAATACGACACTTTTTAACAATAAAAAATACTAACTAAATTAAATCCAGTAAATATTACCACAAAATACTTAACCGAAGGGAACCCACATTGCATACCGGTTAATACAAATTGGTTTGTACTTGTTAACGACAATTTAAATTACTATTAGGGAATTCACTTAAACACGAAGAGTACAAAACTCGAAAATCTCGAAAGTTTTCGAGGCTGTTTTTGGGAAAAGCAAAATATTGGCCAAGACTGAAATTTAAGAACTACCTTTCGAAGGCGTTTTCGCAATTAAGTAGTTTGTCTACTCCGCTGGTCTGATGTTTTTGAAGATTTTTTGATCCAATTTAAAAGTGTAACACTAGCATTTATTAACTGATGGATACTCTTGACTGAACAAATTCCCTCTGCTATTTTTCTCAATTCTAGAGCATCAAAAGTGTATCCAATCTGCAATTCGGATGAAGCAGAAAATATTCATCATTTCATTGGTTTGGGCCCTATTTTCAAGAATATCCGTTTTATGTACTTCTGAAAAAAAAGTTTGAGATCTGTCTGAAGTTATAGACATTCTAGGCGTCTCTAAATATGTAAAGCTATTTGCAGATATTTGCGTGAATGCACTAAATATAGGAATCTTATAATAAATGAATTTTTAATTAAATTTAATTTTCAATGTATGCATCGTTCGCTTACATGCTCCAATCTCTAGTAACTCTAGATTACTTTTCATTTAATGTAACTTACTTTAGTAAATTTAGTTTTCAGAGTAACTTTGTTCAGTCTATGTAAATATGTACTTCAACCTAAGTAAAATAAATAAGTATATACTACTACTATGTAATGTATATGTAATTAAGTGGAAAATATAGAATCAAAATCATCATCATTACGAAGGCAAACATCGTCAAAACGTCATTCAGCTAAAAAAAAAGCGTCAAAATGACGACGAAATCGTCAATTCGGCAACGCTGCGCTGTAGTGATTTTCTCTTGATCTGAGATTCAATGGCAGAGAATCCAAAATTGCCTTACCAACAAATATTCGTTGGGCAAACTATTTACACTCACACATATCGTCATACATATCATATGTACATACATATAAAAAAGAAAACACACATATCGTCACCTGAAATGCAAAAAGACGTAACAAACATCATCGTTGAAATGCAAAGAGGCATAACTAATAAAAAATTTAAAAAATTCACTTTTTGATTTATGTGATGGATTTCATCGAATTACAACTCCCTACATTATATTATGAAAAAATAAAATAAAATATTAGTCATGACTTTTGCCATTTCATTTACAATGTTTTCTACTTCTTTTTGCATTTCAGGTGATGATGTGTAAGTATGTATGTATGTATACGCATTAATTAATTAATCTGTTTTACGGATGCCTTCCAAACGAATTCCATAAATGGCGTCTTGTATGTACGTTTGTGTATGCACGTAGTATCCAAATATTTATGAAAAAGCTGCACACATACATACATATATACATATATTTATGTGTATGCAGGTGTAACTGAAAAGGATTCATATGATGTACATTTGTAAGCTTCCAGTAGCATCCGGCTTCGAATGCCACTAAACGGAACATAACATTTTTGATATTTTTTTTAGATTTTTTTAACCAGGAAAAATCATCTGTGCAGTGCAGAATAAAATCTTGTTCAAACGAAAAAAATCTCCAAAAATAAATCTGTTTAAAGTAAAAGGTCCTTCAGGGTTCATTTTTTTTTCAGTGCAGTAGTCGCAGAAGGGGTGCTTTCATGTCCAAAACGATGGAGATAGGCTTTAAAGCAGCCATTTCCGCTATGGATATATAAATCTAACTCTCATTCGTCGGCGGTGCGGTGCGTTCACCTGTCTTTCGTTGTATGTATTATCCCAACTGCCTTATGCTGCTGCATTGCCTTTCTCGTCTGTCACGACTGGTTTTGCAATTTCGACTATTTTCTGAGCAAAGAGCTTTAACATACGAATAGTGTCGCTCCCAATAAATGTGTAGGCAGGCGTATTGTCTGGACTTCTGTCTGGATCCGCTAATATTTGATATCGGGCCAGACAGGGAATAAGATGCTGCTCCCTTGCGAGTGCTAAAAAACCTTGTTTGTAGCTATTATTGTGCTGCCGTAATAGATACGTAAGTATATCCGCTTTTGCCAATATCTCAGCCAGTATTTTTCCTGTGGCTACGATTGGAACGTTGCACAGTGGGGTAATCGACCCTGAAACTGGGGATCAATTCATACGTACATTTAATTTAAAAAATATTGATGTATTTGTATAACTAGCACCAAATAAATTTAAAAAAAGACAAATCCGAAAATAGTTCAGTGGGAAAATTTTTTTTTATTAAGGTTTTTATGGCATAACCAAAGAGCGAAAAAAAGAAACTTTGGTTGTACTTATAAATAATTTTTATTATTAATAATTTGGTAAAATCATAATCATCATTAATTACAAAATAAATATCATCATCAGATGAGGATTATCTTCATCACTATTTTCATCATCACTTTACAGGAGTACCACTTTCAAAAGATTTCTTCATAGAGCAGATTAGTTCACCACCCACGTTGCCAAGTTCTGATGTAATAGTAACTGTTTTTAAACCGTTTAAAAATTGGCCCTAGAGACATAATAACTGTTTTGTTCATTGTTCATAAAATAGTAATCATTGCCCTTTATAGGTAATTTTTTTATATATTAATTTTATATATCAAGGTTTAAACTAAGATTAGCCAATGAAATGTCAGCCAGATCATTGAGATAAACTAGTTCTTTGTCTACGTATATAGTCAAAAACCCCCTTGTTTTTATCCTTTCTATAAAAAATAAAATGCTTAGAAAAGAAAAATAAAATGCCTAAGTATCTGAACAAGAAGATTCCTTTGCCGTTTTTGATGTATCTTTAAATAAAACTTAGAAATAGCTTGGAAATATGAAAATTTAAATCACGTTTATAACTTCGCGCACATAAAAAGGAAAAAGTGCCGACTTTAAGAGTATATTGCAAGAAAATGTAAATTTTTGGGCAAATATTTGATTGCATAGTGATGTAGAATTTTATCTACTTTCATTTGGTTGTAAAAACTTCTTTGTACTTTGGAATTAATTTTTTGAATTAATCTCCAATATCGATATCAATTACCCCACTGTGCGTCGTTCGTAAAGAAAAAACGTTGCATCGTAGATGGTATTCTACAGCTAAGGCCCAAAAACAGGCCGTTATACCATTTTCCCATGGCATCCTGAATTACTTTATTCGCTCTCTCTTAATTACGATCGCGAATTACCCCATTCCCACGGGTGCATTCTTAATTCGATTTGACAGTTCGCTGTCTCTGTGTTTTGTTTTTCTATATATGTATTATTATGTATATGTTTCCGTATTAAAGTAGGGATATACATTTATGAACTTTACTTTTCGTACTCAGAAAAAATGCAAGTTTTAATTTGTGAGCTGGCTTCGATAAATTTCCGATAAAAATTAGAGACGGCACCGATTGGGTCGTAATTCGCATGGTAATTGGATCTGCGCTCTCAAAATTTTTTATGGCGAATTACGTAATTCGAAGATAATTGGAGTGCGTATTACGAATGAGAGAGCGAACTACGTAATTGGGGTGCAGCTATCAGATACTCAAATACGTTTGCATTCAATTCAATGAGTTTACAATACTCAATGAATGTGAAATAGCAAGTTTTTATTATTATTATTATTTTGATTATATATAGCTGAAATTCAAAATCATATCTCGGCACTATCTACCAAGGCTATTTCGGTTTAGTCAATTTACGACATTAAATTAAAGTGTTACCTACATACATACTTGTATTAAATTAAGGGTGCAATACTTAAATGTTTTAAGGGATAGAAAATAGTTTTTACTTTTTTTCCGTAGGGTTTGAGAGAATGTCTATTGGCTTTTTGAATCGAGTGCGAGCGGAAATGGCATACAGCCTAGCCAGAGTTTCGTTCCCCAACTTTTCCAGAAGAAACTGGCTAAACTGTCAAAAAGCAAAATTTCTCTCCGAGAATGAGAGAAACACCAAAAGTACACGCACGCTTTTTGAGTAAATAAGATGAATATGCAGATGTGTTTTTTTTTTTGTTTACTCAACTTTCAATTGGCTTTGAACACACAGAGAACAGCTGCTGGTACTCCATGAGATTTTACTAGCAAAAACCCTTCGAGTAAAATTTTACTACTGTTGATAGCGAGCCTAAAGAGAATCTCATTAACTATCTCTCAAGTACGGGACAGGGGTGGACAAGGCAATTTTCAAATCGTACCCAATTTGCGGAAAAAATTTTACCCAAAAGTAGAAAAATAAATACATGCTTTTATGCTTTTGCACTTATTTTAAAAAATTGCCTATAAACATCGCACATCGG